ACATACGGCTGAGGATAGTGAAGGTTTACGGCCAGCAATTCATATTATTGTGCCTGTGAAGGGTCTAGCTACCAATGTTCCGGTTACTTCAGAAATTCCAAAGCTGTTGCGTGAGTGTGGGGAGTTCTGGAAGATGGGGAGTTGTGGGAGTCAGGAGGTAAAGAGGAGAAGGAGAGACCGGAATTGGATGAATAAAGGAGTAAGCGTAGTACAGGAAGCGGTAGCCGAAGAGAATGTCGAAACTGATGGATGATTGAAGGAGGCTGCAAGGGATATGAGGAGAAGACGATGGAAGATTTGGCTAGAATCAAAGATGTATGGGGCTGTCGTGAAGGAAAGACTAGATGAACTGGACTTTGAGATTATAGGAGCTGGAGAGGTGAGATTGGGAAGAAATGAGAGAAGGATGTTAGAGAGGTTGATGTGAAAGTTTGTATTAGTGGATGGGCAAGAACCTAAGCTTTTCTTTCGGGAAAAGAATGGGCAATTGGCAAGTTGTGTATTGGAGAAGGACGTGAAAAGGGTGCTTGGAAATTTACATGAAGGTCATGGACACTTTGCGACTAGTGTTACTATCGGCCACGCACATGGAAAGGTCTACTGGCCATCTCGCTCAAAGGATATAGCACAATGGGTTGCCTCTTGTGAAGCCTGTCAGCGGGTTACCAAAATTCAGAAAGCCGGAGTTATACGACCTATGCTACAGTTTCAGCCCATGGACATGATTGGGATGGATTTTGTGGGACCTATTAATCCACCATGCAAAGCAACGGGAAATCTTTATATTCTTATCGTAATTGACTACTTTTCTCGATTTCTTTGGGCTGTTGGAGTACAGAAGGCAGACCAGATCTCAACTATGAAAGCCTTATTAGATCATGTTATTCCGAGTTTTGGATGGCCGCTATCCGTTTACACTGATAATGGAAGCCATTTTACTGGAGCGATGATTTCCAAAATGTGGACAGATCACAGTGTCCATCAGTTTACTTCCGCGATATCACATCCCCAATCAGTGGGACTTAGCGAATGCTACGTTCAAATGCTTATGGGACGTATCAGACTTTGCTGTATTGCTGATGCTTCTTCTCGCTGCTGGGGATTACACATCAGAGATGCCGTTCTCAGTATCAACACTCGGTACATTCGCATACATGGATACACTCCGGCGGAAATTCTTCTCAGCTTCAACCCTTCAGTAACGCGGAAGTCAGATGAAGGCTTGTCCAATTGGCTAAAACGAACCCAACCTGCGGTACCAGATCTACCGATCACCTCCGAAGAACGAATAAACTCATATCTGGATCAGCGAGATGAACACGGGATTGAGGCTGGAAGGAAGTTAGCTCAAGCACAGGAAAAGATCAATCCACGGATGACGGCCGGATACAAGCAACCACAGCCAGGAGATCTAGTTCTTCTTCATGATTTTCAACTGGCAAAAGACAAAGGACGCAAACTGGAACATAGATGGTCAACACCGAGAATCTTGGAAAGGGTTTCAAAGTCGGGAGTCAGTGCACATGTCCGGCAATTACATGACCCACCTGGTATGATGAAACGGTTTCACTTTGACGATCTTCTTCTATATATACCGCGGACAGAAAACTATCCTATGCCAGAGATGTCGCATGTGGTGACTCGTGGTCAGGGACATGGAGTAGAATATGTACGAGGAGCCATGGGGGCTATTGAGGGAGTTCTGACATTAGGGCAAAGAGCGTTTGATATTTCTGATATTGGAGGTTGTCTTAGGCAATAGCGCAAGCTTTTGGCAGCAGTATTGTTTTCTTTCTGGTTTCATACAAATTGTTTAAGAGGAGATTAGACATCTGGGTCGATGTCATTGCAAAAATCGGTGTTTCTGTGGAGGGAAAAAATTGCGCGATGATTTTTATTCTTAGTATACTATTGCTTTTAGTTAGAGTTTCTGAACATAGTCTGGGTTGGTAAGAGTGTGACTGTTGTGTTTAGTATCGTGGAGGAAAAGTTTTCACAGGACTGCGTTTTTCCACACACCTTGAAGGTATATAAGAGGCTGTGGGAAACACCTTGGGAACGATATTGGCGATTGGTTGAACGAGCAACATCCCCGCATCACTACGACTTGGATTTTTGATTGTGTTTGTTGTTTTATTTCTTGTGCGCTTTAGTTACTTCAAACTCTCTACTCTACATTCCGCTTACAGGCTATACTTGATCCGCCTGAGTGCGTTGCGTGAAATAGAGCCGGGACCCACGATATCGTTTTTCAGTACCGTACTATGATAACATAGCATCATATCATACCGCCACCTTAGTAGCCTAGCCAGTCTTGTTCACAGCGACAGCATACCGGCACTACCGCACACGGTAGTAAACTTACCGTACCCGCGCTGAGGCGCGCTTGAGAAAGAATCCTCTAACATACCAAGTATGACAAAAAAGACCAAAGAGTGCGAGGCACTAGCACGCAATGCAGTACTGCTCTCAATATCAGAAGCCTCGAAGCGGTAACGTATACACAATAAATGAAGATTCCACTCCTCTCCAAGAGCCCTGCGATACTCGCGGAAGATACAATACTTGAAACCCACGGCATAATCTCGCATCCCATCTTTTTTTATTCCATGGGAGAGAATCTACCATGCTATAAAAGCAATTCCCTAACCCCCCCGTAACAACACCGCACATACCGGCACCGCGCTTTAATTCCACCCGCAAACGAATAAAGAGTAACCGTGTCGACGTTACAAACCCATCCCCAGGCAACCTCCACCTAAGTTCTAGGAAATATAGTATAACAGAGTGACAAAGATGCAAACGAAAGGCAAGATGGCCGAGTTGGTTATGGCGCCAGGTTAAGGTTATCTTAACACGCATCCTGGTTCGGGAAACCGAGCGTGGGTTCAAGTCCCACTCTTGTCACATCTCTTTTTCGTCCCTTCAAATCTTGTGAAATCTCGCCATGTCTAATTATGTGCTATGATGTACAACTTATCAAAAGGTGCGATCTAACCATTTGATAGCCCATCTAGTCCAGTTCCATTCTTCCTTTTATCCTAGCCCCTACGCCCTGGCAAGAGTGAGGTATTCCTGGCAAGCCAGGGACAATTGGTCTCTATTGCAAGTACACGGCACCTTGAAAAGAACAGCCATAAAAAGTGCCCGGATGAGATATCCTGAGCGCTAAGGGTCACTTGGCCAACCGACCCGGAGCGGTAACAGCTATTGACATCGTAGGTTGTGTTCCTTTCTTGCAGTGGGGCATCTGACGCGGCCTCACACGGCTTCTAGGCCGTATGGTACATCCGGGGCTCACTTGCGGGAACAAGGGAGTGGGGGAAGAACGAGCAAAAGCAGAATCACAACAAGTATATCTGACTTGTTGAGGAGTGCCGGTGAAGACCTCCTACTAGATCTCCACATCACCAGAAAATGGGTAATATTGGCCTGAGGATTCAAGACCGGCTACAAAAGTATGATAGCAAATCTCGTCAACCTCCCCCCGAGGTCTCGACGAACCTGTCCTAGTTGTGCGCTGTGGGCAGGCACGGGATACTGTACAAGTACCATAGCCAGGAAAAGCGAAAGGATATCAATGTCAGCCATTGACAAAGGACCCCCTTCCGGGACGAGACCCTCTTCGAGCCAGCCTCTACGTAGTTACAGTGCTATACGAGATGCAAAGAATATCATACCACAGTTCTCCTTTGTGATACGCCGAAAATGGCTCTTAACATTCGAACCAACCTGCGCCGAAAAATACCAGAAAGTACTGTTCATTGCGGGGTGACCTCCGTGATCCATAGCTAGGGGGTACAATGCGTAGCATCACCGTAGGCCATGCTAGGCTTACCATAATCAACTTCGGACAAGCAAGATGCAAAAGCTGCTCAACCGACATCCATTAGCTACTACTGTTGCTGCTGCTGCTCTCCGAGGTTCGGACTACAGGTGACCTGCTCCCACTCCCGGATGGATATCCACGGGGTCACTAACCGACTAACTTGCGCCGTCAAGTTATTCTCTCTCTCTCCTAAGATATGATACTCTCGGCATAGGCGTTGGATCAAATACAAAAAGCCCCTGCCAATTTGGCACATCGACTCGTCCCGCCTACGAGAGATCCCTCGAAGGGATATGGCTAGACACTATACTGGGCAGAAACGGCAGTTAGGTATCGATTCACGAAGAGAAAATGCAGGAATCAGGAACCAGAAAAGGAAAGAAAACCGGCAATTAACTACGGTGATTAGGTATCAGGTTTTTTCGAGTATTCCCTCATTAATTTTGACGTAGTTTTCTTTGCTTACTTCCCGCTGCCAACGTTTGCCAGGTTCTTGGCTGGTGGTGAAGTTCATATCCGATCACTCGACATATCGACATTGTTCAATTGTTGGGTATTTTTATTATTCTGCTTCTGCGTTCACATTGGCTGGGGCGCGGTCGCATTGCATTCGGCTTTCCAACTTTCTCTATTCCGCTGCCGTATCCGGATATCGGTTGAGGGATGTATGGGATCTCGCCCGTTGGGCGTCGCGGCGCTACACGACTCTATGTTCGGCTCTCCACGAGAAAGATAGAAGTCTACTCAAGGGCCGTGTGCTTCTTTAGTTTGATCAATCAAATAAACCATCAATTGAGCTATTCGATTCTACCCTGCTCCATACTATTTGCATATTGCAAAGCGCCACGACTGACCGTCCGGCGTCGAACGCACAGATTCTTACGGCAGGACCTATGAAGGGGGTGCAAGTGGGCGGGTGTGAGTGCTGCGAAAGGTACAATATCCTGGGGTGGCCTGAGCTCAATTGATTTGGGGACGATGAGTTGTTTGGGTCAGCTGGCGTTTCGGACAGGTCGGGTCAGCGATGATGCCGAACACCACTAATCTGGCTGCTGACAATGGAACAAGCTAAATGCGCATGATTGGGGAGGAGGACGGAAGCATGCAGCTATAGCCAAACCTCCAATACCCCTCCACTACTAACAAAATACTACATTCCCGGAAAGCAAGATACCTAATTAATTAATTTAGAATCCCATGTGTTCACACCCCCGTTCATCCTACTCGCCCAGCATGACTTTATGCCACAACCTCCTCCACCACGAGCCCGGCTTCCCCGGCTGTTCCCAGGCAGCCCAAACCCTCCTCCCACCAACCCAAGTCTCAAGCACCTTCGCATCTCTTATCCCCTCCTCGCCCACTGCCCAGATATCCCTATCAAGCACAATCCAATCCGCCCACCCACCAACCTTCAACTCCCCAACCCCCTTATCATCCATGAACCCGCCCCACGCCACATGTGCACCAAACCCGCTTAGTGCCTCCTGGAGGGTAATTTTCTCCTCGGGATACCAGCCGCATGTCGGACAGGTATTGTTCTCTGAGCTACCGTCTTCTGGCGAACGTCTAGTCATTGCGGCATAGATGCCTGCAAAGGGGGAAGGTGGTTCTACGGGAAAGTCCGAGCCCAGAATTACTGGTAGACCTGCATTGTAGAATGACTTCATCCGATATGCACTCCCCGCAAGACGTTCGGAACCGAGGCGCGAGAGGGCGTATGCCATGTCGCTGGTGGCATGGGTAGGTTGTATCGACGGGATAATTCCCATGCTGACGAGTCTTTCTTGGTCCCCTAGGGATATTATCTGTGCGTGCTCTATCCTAAAGCGTTTTTCATCCTGAAATGATCGGAGGCTACAGGTTTCACGGTAGGGGCTCTGGGGGCAGAGGGGTTTCAGAATTTTCTCGAAGGCTGTTATGGCAGCCCGGTTTGCGCGGTCACCAATTGCGTGGATATTCACCTGGTAGCCCAGGTCATCCCACCCCTTCGCAACGGAGTAGAGGTCTTCCTCTCCGATTAGCATGCTGCCGGTCGCGTTGAGTTTGTCGGAGTATGGCAATAGGAGGGCGGCACCCCAGGATCCAAGGGCCCCATCTGTCATGTCGTTAGTCGGCCTTGCAGAGGAAATTCCACGGCCGATTGGGTATATACCGGCAAATAGCTTAACAGACCGCACACTCAACTTCCCATCCTCACGGTTAACCATTCTTGCTTCATTCCCACAGACAGTATTCCGAACCGGACACTCCAGCATTGCGTAGAACCTTAAAGTTAACCTCCCTACATCCGCAAGACTACAAACCATCAGCAAATCCCCCAATACCAGAAATCCGAACGCAACTGAGCCCTACTCATTAAGGATTTCTACATCAGTTGGGAGTACACCCGCATCGTGCACCCCAACAACGCCAACCGAATGCAGCGATTTCATCACATCCTCCAGAAATCCAATCTTCTCATCACGCCCGGGGCGCGGCCAGATATCGGATACGGGGTCCATAGCGTTATCACAGAACACCCCGACTCCTGGGTTGGTGATTACCTCACCTCCGGGGATCTCCGGGAATGGGTTTGGGAGGAGATTGAGAACCGGTTCTACCCCGCAAACAAAATATTAATCCATTGGCCGGCGGAAAGGGAGGGAAGGAGGGAAGGGGCATAAGGCGTACGAACCAGAAACCCAAACGCAGTGAGCATCAACTCTGTCCAGCATGATATACAGTCCAGATAACTCCGGATCCTGACTGAGTTGTGCCTAGCCATAATCACACACGCGCACACAATGGCATATACCACCTCGTAAGCAAACAAGCACCACGTTGCCAGCCGGGGGAGTAAAAGCATCAGAATAAGTACAGCAACTGGCATAACCCCGCCAAAATTCTTCTGATCCCACCCGATCCCCCGGATCCACTTCTCCTGATTCCCGTGCGTTGGGTTCTTTTTCAAGTATTCCTTAATTCTCGTCTTGATTTCTAAAACTATGGTAAGTATCGAGAGGAGATAGAAAAAATTGGCCGAGTTGAGTACGGTATATCATACCGTCCACGCTCCCTGCCCCATAAAGCTTGACACCACTCAACATCTCCCCATATTGCAAAACATGTCCGTGCCCATCCCACAAACCCGGAATCGCATAGCCGGCGCTCACATCCCAAGTCTCTGAGCCACCACTATCGCTATAACTACTTTGGTTAAAAAGGCGGAGAACCCGCCCACTCTGGCCAGATGCGCAAATGCAGGTGAACGAATCATTAGCCGGGGACAGAGTGTCAATACGCTGGTAGCATTTTATTCTTGACGGTTTTTTAAAGAACTCGAATCGCCAGATTCCAAGTGACAGTGACAGTGCAAATATTGCTGAGGCAATATAGTTTGTTGACGGCATTCCTGTTTGTGGTACCGTGGTGGGTTTGATTGTGGGTTGTGATGTGGTGGTAGCACTAGTGATGGTGTGAGTTGTTCTAGTGGGGGGTTGCTGCTGGGTTGGCCAATAAGGAATTGTTGACCGGTTAGCTAGTGTTGAGGCGGCTATTTGGTTTTGTTTGGAACTTAAGTCTGAGGCTGGCTGCCGCCCTCTCAGAGTACTTATGTACGGTATTTAGGGGGGGGGGTTTTCCTTTTTCAGAACATTGTGTCTTTAGTTTTGGTTCAATACTTGAGTACTAAGTAGTCTACAGTACAAAGACGTGCAGCCCTCGCTGCGGCCTATTTAGGGGGGTGTTTGGACTCTTGAGGTTTGCATCCTTGGCTACATACTAACCCACTTTCAACAATCCGGAGAATTTTTCCTAGCTGCTGCCGGGTATACCAGGGTAATAAATTTGATTGAACGGGCACCGGCATTGGTGCATTGTGTTCACCAGTTCTCACTCGGGATATTAGGTTTTGGGATTAGAACTAGGTTAGTAACCCCACACCAAGAAAAGAAACCAGACAAACTGATGAATTATTCAAGAGCATCCTTGGAAGCATCCCTTGCGCTAAGAAAACTATGTAAACCACCAATTCTGACAAAACCCCATTGACAAACAATAGATCGGTATCCATTCTAAATCTAAAAGTAGCAAGCTGAGCTCCCCGCCCCCGATATACAGCCCCAGAAAATGTCTAGTACCAGTTCCCAATATGCACCAACCCTTCCTCTGTTCCATCCCTGAGTTCATTATCCAACGGGTCCAACCCAATCATATATTTCGCAATCCCACATCCCCTCTTCCTCTCCGCCTCAATACGTTCCCAAGTCCAATACTCATCACCTTCACCCTTCTGCGTCAATGAGCGGTCTAAATCTCTCATCAGCGCATCCCCGTCAGTGCCACCAACAGCCTCAGCCGTGGCAATCGCCTTCCCAGAAATCTCCACCAGCTCGTCATCCCTGGGGGACGCCGTTCCCGAAACCGCTGGGGTCAGCTCCTCAGCGCCAACCGGCCTCTCCGGTAGCAGCCCGGATTCCCTAAGGACCTCTTCGGGAGGAACCGTGACACGACCCTGCTTGAACACGTACTTGCTAATGCAAGTAGCGAAAATCTTCCTCTTCCCGTCGGGGCCCTTCTTCAGCGCGACGAAGTGACTGACGACGAACACCCATTTTGTGTCCCAAGAGAGTAGTCGTGTAACGACCTCATACTTTTCGAATGGCTTGATCTCCCGACGGAAGAGCGCTGAGACTCCGGCGAGCGCCACGTACAGTTGCTTCTTGCTCTTGCGGCGGATAGACAGGGATTTCTTGATCAAGTGGCAGACGAGGTGGGTTCTTGCGATGTCTAGGTCACTGAAGTATGTGCTGTTGGACTTGTGCAGGTTTAGATCACATTCGTACAGCGGGGATCTCGAGGTGGTAGTTATCGGGGAGAACAGGTCCGCGCGTCCGGGTAGCGCTTTCTTGCGGCGGAGTAGATGGAAGTATAAAGAGCGGTAGAAACGGAACTGTGGTGATGTCCTTGCGATAAGCCACTATTTGCGCCAGCTTCGGGAAGGTCAGGGGGATAAGAAAGCGTGTCGAGAATACTCACATGCCATGTTAATGGAATAGACTTGATGTTCACTAGCGCAAGTAATAAGAAGACAAGTTTAAAGATCATGTTCCACGTCGGTAGGCTAGAGAATATACTCGAACCCAGTGCCGAAGCGAGTTTGCTGAGCGCTGCCATGGCGGCGGCTTCCTATGTCGTTGCGGGAGGCAATGATGATAGATTGGCCGGCGCTCTGGGGCATTTGGGCTCTCGCGTCAAGCGGGCCATCAGAACCGCCAAGCAAAAGGGGCTGATTACTTATGCTTCCCGAGCCTCAAATCGTCGGCATCTGTTAAAATGGACCCTCGGTGACACGTGAAAATCGATACAGTATGAATGAATATTTTCAAAAAAACGATGCAAAAATTGATGGGGGATCTCAAAGCTTTTAAAGATTCTAGGAATTAAAGCGCCGTATACTCAAAACAAGGTAGCTTCACCCACTAGTTTACAGCCTAAAGGAAAAGGAGCAGTCCCAGATTACTTATGAAGCTATGGCATTCAAGGGGTGCACACCGCTCCTACTGTTAGCTCCCCAAAAAAAGAGAACCAGAACTTTGGTTGATGTGAATAAGCAACTTAGTGACCAACTGGGATCCAATGTCAGTGCCGAGGTATCTCAAGATTCCCCGCCTCTTAATAACCCTCTCAATCAATGACTCCAACCCCTGGGTCGGGTGACTTATTCGAAATTCTATACTCGATGCTTTTGTTGGGAGGTTAGAAATACCGGTAAGCTCTCCCGTCTAAACTTGAGGGGTTTTCAGGTTTGATATTATGAATAATAACGTATCACACTTGAGTTCGATCGAAGACCACTGAATCCGGATGGATTATTACCGTATGGGGTCTGGGGTCCCGGTACCCATACTAAAAACACCGGACTGAATTGACCGTTTCTGCCCACTTCACATACCGATAGAGACGACTTGAGCTCTAGCCGTGCAGCACAGCTTCCTGCTGGACAAGAATAGGACCCAACAGTATCGACCGATGAACCGGAGGCCGCACAGACCCGGAGCAGGACACCACTATGCTTTTCTCAAGCACGGCATGTGTATTTAGAGACCTGGTACCGATCTGGCAAGCCGTATTGGCAAGCCGCCAGTATCATAAGTTTCCAGCACAGCTGGTGAAAAGACCTGTCAGCCCACGATCTGGCCTCGCTATCCATGGGTGTCGGCATGATACCAGTATCATGTCATAGCTGAAAGTGCAATTGCCGCAGAAATTGGGTAACAGCCGCCCATATTGACCCTACTCAAGCAGAGGGTGAAAGCCCGCCCGTGCCCGACCATGAACGAACTATTATATTTCGCTGATGGTTAACATATCATACTCACTCAACTAACATGCGCCCTGTTGAAGTAACGACGTCTGGGATGTTAATTGTACCACTACTTGCCCATTCCAAAAGTATCCGGAAATCTTGGTGAGGTTCAATGCGGGGGAAACCTTAAACCAGAGCCATGTAGCACGACCTTTGAGCTCTGCATACCCCACTCTAAACTCCTAGACTATAGCTCACCCAAAAGTTAATACTTTTAAAAGGATTTCTATAGGCTAAATCTCTGCCCTATCATACCTTGTATCAAAGTATAGAAAGAAAGATACAATAAAAGCTACTGTTGAGAAACCTTAGAAGTTTGAAGCTAGGCATGCTTTATCGAGAAGTTTCATGAGTTAAAGAGCCCCCCTCCACTACTCTAACTATGCGAAGATTTCTGGATACTGTTGGGATGGGAAAGTACTGTACTCGAGCACAGGCACTTGCATTACCCGTACCACCAGCGCCGGTGCAGCAGGTGAAGATGGGGGACTCCCACCGCACAATATGATAGGGACTATTGGAGTGGGTAAAACTGATTAACGTAAACCAGGAACTCGGGGAGCATCTCAGCGGCCCCACGGCATGCCATCACCTCAGACATTGTTGACGGTAAATTATCAGTGTCTTGGCAGATGTCTTTACCGGAAGCCCTACCCCCGGAGCCCGTTCCGGCAGCATCACGCGACAAACGAGCTATTATGACCCTGGCAGTCAAGGTGATCTTGCTCTTTCCGTTCCCCTCGAGGATCGAGTAAATTTACCGTATCATACTCTCGAGTACCCTAAGGTCTCTACAGTCAGTAGCGCGTAAACCTAATCCCAACGTCAAGCTACAGTACTCCTTCCGTGCCTTTAATCTATCACAATATTATCATACTCCACAATCATGTTCGAGGTATGTATGATATCATGCGTCGCCGATTTTCTCCCTACCATATCCCCTATACCCCCTTAAATCAACTGACCTCCCTTAAACCCCCATAGTCGGCGTCAACCTACACTCTCCGCCAACACCGGGCGGATAGCGTCGTCCTCACGCAAGCCGAGTTGGTAGAAATCCGTGCTGCCCAACGTACCTTTGAAGGCGCATACCTACGGACCGCGCTCTCGCAGTTTTCCTTCTCCCTCATAATCCTCCGGATCTTCACACAGGAATTTTACTCCATCGGCGCTCTGTTCGCAGTGTTTGGTGCATTCATCATGCTCGCTAGCCTTTTAAGGAGGAGGAGTGGGAACAGGCAGTTCTTTAGGGATGAGAATGAAGGGGGGAGGAAAAAGTTTAGGACTTCTGGGAATGTGGGACCTTTTCTTTTCTCCTGTGAATGGGACCGTTGCTGATTCTCTTTGCGGGGAGGATAGGTTGTTGCAGTGGTTAGTTTGATTAGCATCGCGGCTTATTCCGCGCTGCTGGTTCTGTTGTGTAGGTTGCAGGGGGCATAGGTTTGGACCGAACAATGGAATGGGGATGTTCGGAAATGGGAGTTGATGTGGAATTTTTGTTTGGTAGCGTGGGGTTTTGCTGAGTCTCATTCCTCTTTTGCCAGCTCGCAAGAGATGGTTCACTTAATATTATTGGTAATTAGGATTTATCTACATGCCGGTATGATATTGAGGTGCTGTTGGCGCTGGCTGCCCGGAATACGGGGAAACGTTATTGCGCCACGAATTTATGGAATCTTAAATCACCCTATTGACCAGGGTTCAAGCCATGAATCACCTAGACTCCATATTTCGTCAGCGTAGAGAGGAGTGCCAAAAGGCACGTTCGCTCCCAAAACGCTCCCGGGGGTCTCCAAATCCCAAACATCATGTGGATAAAATCTCATATCATACTTATAACCTAAGGTTACTGTGTGAATAAGGCAATGAATATGACCCCTGAAAGTACTGTACTCGTACAAGGAGACCCTTACGTCAGAACGGAAAATCTCTCCTCAACCCGTTACCTACGGTACGCCCAATCAATGTCACTGGCCACCTTGACTGAAAGAAACCACACTTCTCGTGACCTCTCAACACTACTAGGGCTGCTGGCTTCTGGTCTAGTTGAGCGATATATGTCAACAGCACTCTCCTATCATTAAGCTCACCAGATGAGGGGTATCACCCCACCCCCATCGGCAGCCGCAGTACCTCTGGGTGAGACTTTGCGCTTTGACGGGGAAAACATCGAATGATGACTACAGCACTGAAAGGCTTGATTGCTTGGAAGAGTTGAAAATAATGTTATTATAGACACCGGAGGCCGTGATGCACCCACGTGGAATTGGGTCTCAGGTTCTCTCCCAGGTTTATGGGACTGCCGCTACTATCCTACTGGGTAGTCAGGCCGCCATTTAGGTTTCCGATTTTTTCTCAGCCGGATACAGTATTTCACCTGCTGAAATATGACTCCAAGTCTACTCTACCGCTGACCCAGAAACAAAAGCAAGTTAGAAGGAGACGGAAGTACAAAGTGATATACTGGCAAATAGCACCTGGTCCCCCAGAAACCACAAGCTGTTTTTGTGCGTTCGCAAATTCTACGGAGTATAAAAGTAGTTTTTCTCCAACAACCCCAGCCAGACCCCCAATTCCCATTACTGAACTATT